CAACCGCCTGGTAATCGTCACCCGCGCTCTGCTCGGCATTGATACTACGTAGACTACGCACGCGAAAGAAAGGAGCAGCATATAGCGAGAGCCAGGAGCCAAAGAATTCCCTCTCTGAAGATGGATAGACAAGAGATAGACGTAAGAAAAAAATAAACCTCTCCTGGTGAACGCCCTTCCTCCTTCTGACTTACCACCCGGGAATAGAATCTTCGCTACTATTACGGTAAATATATGAGTGTCTTGCTTCTTTCGAGTCGTTGGACCGCTTCTGCTGCCTTTTTAACTGTGTTGCTGACATTCCCATAAGTAAAGCAAGAAATGCATGGGTATGTGAAGCTTGAGAGTAGGTGCCTGTGGTTCTTTTCTAACGAGTTCCTCCGGTATAACTGTTCGGCTGACTACATGAGAGTGAACTAAAAGCCAGAGGAATCAGGAACTGATGACTTCTACTAAGGTTGAGAAAAAAGAGGTCGTGGCCAACTGTCCCTTATGTTTTGCGTGAAGACTGAGAAAATGCAACTCTTCCGACTGTTGCCACGGCCGTCAAAAAGATAATTTTGAAAAGTATAGAGTAGATTCGCGAAGTAAACTAGCTGGAGCTATAAAAGAGTTGACAACCAAACAAGCAGCATAGTTCCATTCAGTGCAAATGCAGGTGACCCGAAAACCTAACAAAATAGGAAAGCGAAAGTGCTATAATTTTGAAGTTTCCAGATGTGTTGACGGGCTCTGTGCAGGCTCTGAGTCATCGAGCGGCGTATGATTTTTCGATTTCTACTAGTTTAGACGATTTCACGCTTCCCCTAACTGTGACTAAAACTCTAAAGCCTGACAGTCAAAAGTGATAAAAAATTTCGCCTTCAAGTGGGATGCAGAAGTTAATTGCAAAAATACAGAAAGAGAAAGGGTAATCAGGCATTACTGTGGTAAGGCATTCACACAACAAAACAAGCAACGGTATAAGACACGGTAAAGCGAATTCCTTACCTCGTAATATGATGATCACATTACCGTGCCTTATCCAGTAACGAATCGCAGTCCAGTGTTTACAGTTTTCACGGCTACCAGGGACAGATGCACCTGACGTTACCTAGTTCAATGACCCTGATGTGTTCTTCGCTTGGCGCTTGGCCTGGAGCTAGGATATGGCCCGGAACATAACTCTAAATCCAACCCTACCCGTACAACGAAATCTAAGCCCAAACCGAACACTAGGCCTTCCCCTACTCTTAATCTTTACCATACATATAGCCCTACGTATTGGAAGCGTATATTCGTCAGCGGTATCACAAAGTTCCCAAACGAGTATAGGTGCAGCTGTCCAATACTCAAACGTTTTTCAACTATGGAGTTATGCGTTGGCGCACAGAAATTCACCAGTCAAATTTAATGGGAAGATCTATTATCCGCGAGAGGTTGTCTTGCTGAGGTCAGTTGCGTCTGCCCTACGAATTATATTTTGTTTTGTCGAGACTCATATGGAGTTGTTAGCACCATTCGACATGTGAAGGGACGATATCGACGAAATATTTGTCACCAGCATCTGACGAACCATAAAAAATATATTGGGTGCGACTGCGTATTTTAAAGAAGAACGCAATATGCTCGAACTCCAACCGTAAGATCTAGCGCAGACCTTGAGCCAGGATTCCAAACCCTACACCAACATTATAGTTTTTATTCCATTTCCGAACCTAGACTCCGGTCTTCCCACATAAAAC